AACAAGCAAAACCCAGGAGGATTGTATCTGAAGAGAATTCTTGAGGTGATGTTCTGTCTTCCACGTGTGTGCGCACACACACATGCATTTGTACCCACTGGTATACACATAAAGAATAATAAGTGGTAGGTGTAGGATTAATGAGTTCATCTCAGTGCACATGCATTTTAAGAAACATATCTTCAGTATCTGGACATTAAAGAAGTCATTCAGCCAATCAGATAAGAATGATCTATAATGACTTCAGTGTTTTCAAAATTCTGTCAACTGGTAACATAACTTGGTGTCCTCATCAATTCTTGTTGAAGAAAATTAAGTGATCAAACTTTTAGTCTAGATAAGTCTTCTTCAATACATCAAAACCTGTATGAGGACATGAAGACATTTTAATCTTTAATTAATGAATAAATACTATTACTGGTCTAGTACCACGAGTGAGATTCTGGAGTTGAATGCACACAATGCAAGAAATAGTTTTGCATGTTCACTGACCCAAAGCTAAACATGCAGAAGGATATTCTTAGATCAAATTCCTTAGGTCAGTTAGTTTTAATGACATTTACTTTTTTTCTGACAGAAATTCAACATACTATAAAATATAGTAATTTGAAAGGCAGATGAATTACTTTCAATCCCGGTGGTGGTCTTAGAGCATTTACCCACAGCCTGCTATTCTTCTTAAAATTATTACTTTTAATTTGTATTTTCCAGTGGCATACAAAGAACAGTTTTCTTCACTGCATTTGTCTCCATACTTAGTTGTAGGCAATCCTCATTGCTACACAGTCCTCTCCTACTCCATTTCTCACCCTCTTGCTCATACTCTTTCGGACCCAATTTTCCCCTTTCTATTTATCAGCATGCCTTCTATTTTCTTATGTCTTTTTAAATAACTGTTGGAGACATCTTTTACGTTATTCTCAGCTTTTTAAACTTTTATTTGGTTTTTATTTTATTTTTTAATTCTAAACATAATTCTTTATTGATTCTTTGGAAATTTCACATCATGCACCCCAATCCCACTCACCTCCCAGTCCCTCCATATCCACCCCTCACCCAAAAACAAAACAACCAAAAAAAAAAAAAAAAGAAAAAAGAAAACCCACCTCACTTCTCCATCTTTTCAACACCTCTTCCTCCATCCTAGTGGCATCGAGAGCTGTGGTGTGTCCAGTAGGTAGCATACCTCTTTATTTTTATTTTTATTTTTTTATTATATATATATATAGTATTTTACAACCATTCAGTTCTACATATCAGCCATGGGTTCCCCTATTCTCCCCCTTCCCACCCCCTCCCCTTACCCCCAGCCTACCCTCCATTCCCACCTCCTCCAGGACAAGTCCTCCCCCGAGGACTGTGATCAACCTGGTAGACTCAGTCCAGGGAGGTCTAGTCCCTTCCTCCCAGACTGAGCCAAGTGTCCCTGCATAAGCTCCAGGTTTCAAACAGCCATCTTATGCAATAAGCACAGGACTTGGTCCCACTGCCTAGTTGCCTCCCAAACTGATCAAGCCAATCAACTGTTTCACCTATTCAGAGGGCCTGATCCAGCTGGGGGCCCCTCAGCCTTTGGTTCATAGTTCATGTGTTTCCATTCATTTGGCTATTTTTTTTCAATAATTGAGTAAAACTGAAATTTATTATAAGCCACCGTCGTCCTAGGGACCTCCATGCTATATATATATAGCCTCTATGGTTCTATGGGTTGTGGTCTGATCGTTTTTTATTTTATATCTAGAATCCACCTATGAGTGAGTACATTTGTTCAATCACCTCCACCCACAAAATGTTCATTACAATGAGTCATGGGTCTGGTTCAAGGCCTCTAGTTTCTAGTACACTATAATCACTAAGCTGGGCTCTTATCAAAACTCCTCTGGGACATCCTATTATTGCCCTGAGTCATGGAGATTCTGCAGTTATTGTTCTGCAGGACCAGTCAGTGCCTCTGTGCACTCCAGCAGACCATAGATGGAGCAGCTGTTAGGGTGGGTCAACCCAAGGCCCAGGATGTGGGTCGCAGTGGTAGTTGAACTGGTTGGTCCATGCTATTGGGACCTTTCCTTCAGGTGAGGGTCAGAGCCAGCTCTCCTAGGCCAATGCCATGAATGCCGAGGGCTGGGGTCAGCTCTCCCATGGGTAAGGGGTCTGGGAGTGAGAAGGTGCCAGCTTTCCTGCTCTAGTGTCCAGCGAGGGCCAGGACCAGCTATCCCTGGGACCAGTGGGAGACAGGGCTGGCTCCGCATGGCCCTTGGATTTCAACACAATAGGCATGGTTCCTATGACCCCTGTGGCAACATGAGCCATGGACATCAGGCCAGACCCTGGCTCCTGTTGGGCCATGGATCCAGACAAGGCCCATGGCAGCAGCCTGAACCACGCCCCATGTGGCTGTGTGAGCCACTCAGATTGACCCCCATGGTTGTGAGGCCCTCGGACACCAACATGGCTACAGGTGGTGGCCCAGACCCTTGGCATCAGCATTGCCTTCCATGGTATCATTTACCAGAGACATCAACACGGACCGTGACTGCACTAGGTCCATGAACCCAGACATGGCCCTCAGCAGCAGACCCGGCCCAGACAGCATCATGGTCCCAGTGGCTACACAGCCCTTGAACACCAACATGGTCACAGGATACAGCCTAGACCCTGGTCATCCATGTGGCTTTTGGTGGCATCATGAACCACGGACATCATAGACCTCGACTGTGATAGGACCATGAACCCATACACCATCCCAGGCAACAGCTCAGGCTCTGATGTCATCACTGCCCCGGGGAGCACTGTAGGTCACTCAGATCAGCATGGTCCTTGAGGCAGTGTGGCCCTCAGACACCAGCATGGCCCCAGGTGACAGCCTCGACCTCTTGTATCAGCATTGCCTTTGGCGTTATCATGAGTCACGGACATCAACTCAGCTCGTTTTTTTAAACATTGAAAACAGATTCTTCTTTCATGCAATACACCCCGACTACAGTTTCCCCTCCCTTCACTCCTCCCACCTCTCACCTCCCCTTTCCCCCAGACTCCTCCCTTGCTTCCCTTCAAAAAAGAACAGGCCTCCAAGAGACAGCAACCAAATGTAACAAAACAAGATACAACAAGACAGTGGTTCTCAACCTTTGCAGCACTGTGGTCCCTTAATACAGGTCCTCAGGTTGTGGTGACCCCCACCCATAAAATCATTTTTGTTGCTACTTCATAACTGTAAATTTGGTACTGTTATGAATCATAATGTAAATATCTGATATGTAGATGGTTTTAGGTGACCCTGTGAAAGGGTTGTTGGACCCAAAGGGGTCATGAGCCACAGGTTGAGAGCCTCTGCAATAAGACAAGGTTAAAAATCCTCATATCAAGGCTGGACAGGCAATCCAATGGAAGAAAAAGAGTTTCCTCACCAGCCAGAATGGCTATTGTTGAGAAATAAAGGACGCCTGGCGGTGGTGGCGCATGCCTTTAATCCTAGCACTCGGGAGGCAGAGGCACGAGGATTTCTGTGAGTTTGAGGCCAGCCTGGGCTACAGAGTGAGTTCCAGGAAAGGTGCAAAGCTACAGAGAAAAACCTGTCTGGAAAAAACAAAACAAAACAAAAATAAAAACAAAAAACAAGAGAGAGAGAGAGAAATGAGCAGTCAGCTATTCATTAAGACTCCACTCACACATATGTCCTCTGTCAAAATGAATCGCTTTTGAAATATCAAGAGTAGATTTGATGGGAAAATCATAAAGGCACAAGCATTACTCTATTGAGAAGCATAGGTCAAGTTGGTGAAGGATAACTGGGTATCTGGGTTAAAATTAGCAAGGAATTGGAGCTATATGCATTTTGGTTGAGAACTAGGAAACCTTGCAGCTCCCAAGGGACTACATAGTATTTTATTTCACAAAACATCACTAGTCAGTGAAGCCAAGATTCTGCGCAGCAAGAGATGAAGGAACTGAAAAAGTGGCACTAAATAGCAGAAGCAAGAATAAACTACACCACAAACTTAAGTACTGACAGAACCATTTGAAGAAGGGATACTTTTCATATTTCCTTCCCCAAACTTGGGATCTAGTCCCACTGAAAGATGGAACCCTGAGATAAAGGTAAGTGTAAGAGCTCAGCAAGAAGAGTGAGCAGAGGTTCTAAACCTCTCACACCTCTTTCTTCTGGACATTGGAGTTAGTCTTGTGATTCTCACTAAGCTGGATGGATGAAATGATTCACACACATGTACAATATGCACATAAACATACAAACACAAATTGGAGGGACTCTGGGCTATATCTGAGTCACATATGTTTAGTAATGACTGGATAAGCCCAGGAAAGAGATTTGAACAAAGCAACATGCTTTCCCAAGCCTAACTTACCAAAATTGTTACTAGTCAGAAAAGGCTGCCCATATTCCATTCCTCACATAAGGTTCCCCAGGCTTCTTTCCCCTTACAGCTTCTTGAAACCTGTAGTTCTGTGTTCTCTGGGATCATCCCTGACTTTTCTGTTACCTTATAACTCCTGCAGGGTCGATGATAGAGAGATGTTCTATCACCTGTGAGGTCAGTGAGTGTTTAAGCAATGGAAAGAATTAAATAATGCATTAGCTTTCCCTTTAGAGGTGTGTGTGTGTGTGTGTGTGTGTGTGTGTGTGTGTGTGTGTGTGTGTGTGTTGCATAAAATCTTATTAAGGCAATGCATCAGTAGATGTTTTCAAACAGTAATTTTAAATTCAGGGGACAGTATAAGTTCCTACAAAATGCTTTTGAAATGTGGTATTATATAATCTAAGTTGTCATGCAGCTAAACTGGAAACCTCATGAACACGCAGAAGCCCAGTAATCCCCGATAAGAACTGTTTTCTTCTACCCTTACCACAACATTGTAGACGACTTGAGAAATCATTTCTCTGGTTCTCAATTTTGTTGACCGAGACACCGAAGTTTTTAGGCTAAAGTTGCACGTTCCTTTCCAGTTCTGCTCATGATTTATATTTTGTTTCTCACGTACAGTTTTGGCACATAATTGGTACTCATCCAATGAATACTGAGTGATCCTGGCCTTCACAGAGCCATGTGGTTTTAAGGGAGAGAAGTGGTCCCACGGGCTGGCAAGCAAGCAGAGAAGGATGTGGATGAATAAATCTACAAATTGAGCATCTCTCTGATGTGCATTGTAAAGATGATCTGCTGGGCGTTGGGCATTTGATAGCACACATAACTGCTTTTGACAAGCGTAACTGCTAGTGATAAAAGTTATGTCAACATCTGAGTGAGGTGTAGAACAGCAGTACCTAACTTCTTCAGGGAGGACTCAGAACTGACACACACAGAGAATAGGGCCACTAGAAAGGGCATCCAAGAAAACCGGAACAGAATCCAGTCTCCAGAACGTTCTTAACCGAGGTGTAAGAGATTCCATTGTCATTGGCAGAGAAAGTATTTGCTCTCTACACGAGAAGAGCCAGCAAGAACGATGGAAGGGACTTCACTAAAGAAGCAGGGCACCCTGGAACAGAGCAGAGGGTGGATGTGGCTGTTCCCTGGAACGTCTGCCTCCTCTTCGTATGGCTTTGCCATTTCTTGTCTCAAAAGAGGCTGCTGAGCTTTCTCTCCTTTGTAACTTCATGTCACCCAGGAGAGATTTGTGATTTAGATCCCAGCGCCTGGATACCACTGTGAACCCGTGTTTGCACCCTTACATTCAAAGATTCCCACACAGAGGCCCCTGAGGGATTCTGAGGACAGAACCGCTTTGGGGGACTTGGGAAAGGACCAGTCTCTTTGATTTCCCGGGAAAGGCTACCACAACAAAGCTCTGAAGGTCAAAGGTCAGTTTTACACTGAACAAGACATTGCAAATTTTGACTTTTTGGTGAGTTCACAGAGAGGTCACCAGGACTAGTTCCTACACACACTGCCAGTAACAACAGATTTGTTCACAATGAAGAAAAAAAAAAAAGGAAAAGAAAGAAAAGAAAAAAAATCTGGAATATTGTTTCAAAGTCTCTATGGATGAATTTTAAAACTTGATGAAATGATTGATCAACTGGCTATAAAATTTGAACAGATGAGTCAAAGAACAGAGCAAGGTTTAGATTGTAACCATAAACACGTAGCCTCAGGAACAACAAGGTAAGACCAATGCTTGCAGTGTTGAGCTTGCAGGGTCTGGTTTTCAGAGGAGAGTCACAACGGTCCCAGGCTTTTTCCTGTGTCTGTTCTGTCTCTAGATGATGTCTTTCTGAACTCTTGACTCTCTGTTCGCTCTTCTCGGCTACTTTCGGCAGTAGTCTGAGGAACCTTGGAAACCAGGTCCCAGCCTGCATAGACAGACTGGCTACAAAGCCCACAGCCCTGCTGAAAGCCCAGGTCATCACTATTAAACACCAGATCCTCTCTTGGCCTGGCAGAAGATCACAGATAGCTGTGTTTGGAGAACCCAGGTAGTCTGAAAGGCAGCATTGTTCATGTACAGCACTTCGTCCAGAGCATCCTGCTCTAAAAGCTTGTACCAGGCTCTCCAGGCCTTTCTCAACAACAATCCTGGTAGGAGAGGGTGGAAGCTTTGTCAGAGAGCTATTTCATCCAAGGAGGGTTATTTTATACTTAAAGAAACTGGGGACAGAGGCACAATGAAAACAAAGGGACTTTTAATCCAGGGGCAGTTGGAAAAGATAGTTTTATGGCAGTGGGAGAATGCGTTAAGATAAAACTCAGTTGAAAGACCAGATTAGAGTAGGAAAAGAAGACAATGCAGGAAAAAAAGAGAGAAAACCCCTTTATACCACCCAGTTACTATAATTTGAGGTGTGAGGAGGGAAAGCCTAGTTTTGATGCTAGTTTTCAGGATCAGAGGTTTCATTGTTTTTGATGGAAACATCTCCATAATATTGAAACCATGAGTCTCTGGAGCACAGATCTCCTTTTGTACTAATTAGGGACCATAGACAGCCAGTTCTTGGTTTTGCTTTTACACGTGGTAGAAGTGTAATGCACTGTTCTCCATAGTTGGACTTCAAGAGGGGGCCTGCTGCGCTCAGTGGCTGTTCTCCAGCTTTCTCAGCAAGCATGTTAGATAGCCCTGCCTTGGAATGTTGCCAAGAGCTCCAGAGCAGCCTGCTGAGAAAGCCCTTCTGAGGGTCAGTTTGGAAGGAGCCATAAGAAAAAAAAAAAAAGGTGAGGGTTAATGGCTCCCTTCGAGAGGCTTGCTGGCAGGGGTATTCACCTCAAATGGAAATTTCAGAAGTTTCTGTACCGCTCACAAGAGCATTCCTGGAGTTGAGTAGTGGAAAGCTAGGCCAAGCATAATGTAGTGACTCTGCTGAACACAGCTCCGTCTCCAGGAACTCATCATCATCATCAAATAGCATTTATTAAAAGCCCACACGCATATGGTGCAGAACAAACCACATTAAACAAGCACAGTTGAGTTGCTGGTCCTCTGGAGGGCCACAATTCAAAACACTGAGAAAACAACCAACCCTTGCTTCTGTTAGGCAACATCTTCACAGTCCCAGAACACTGGGAAAGAGATTAATGTGAGTATTAATGCAAATATGACACTTAAAATGTCAATTAGTACAGACATTGATTATTTGGACTTTCTCAGTGGACGATATAGCATTATTTGCTGATGCTAGCACAAAAGCAAATCTTATTTCAATGCTATTATGATGGATGATGTTGCTCTGTATGTTGTGAATGTGTTGCTCTGATTGGTTGATAAATAAAATGCTGATTGGCCAGTAGCCAGGCAGGATGTATAGGTGGGATAAACAGAGAGGAGAATTCTGGGAAGAGGAAGGCTGAGTAAGGAGATGCCAGCCCACCATCCAGGGAGCAGCATGTAATGGCACACAGGAGAAGCCATGGAAAATGTGGCAACATATAGATTAACAAAAATAGGCTGAGTTTAAATGTAAGAGCTAGTCATTGGTTAGCCTGAGCTAATGGCCTAGCAGTTTTAATTAATATAAACCTCTGTGTGTTTACTTGGGTCTGAGTGGTTGCTGACCAGGTGGAACACAGGAAAAATTCAGCTACAAAATGAAGTAGCCTCTGTGTGTGTGTGTGTGTGTGTGTGTGTGTGTGTGTGCATACACATGGGTGCACATGTACACATACATGTCTATATGTAGACACAATGATGGAAAAAACAACTTGATGTTTAGATAAGTTAAATATTTTCCCATGAAAACAAGGCTACTAGCTCTTGGAGCCAGAATTTGAACCTAGGCTTGCTGAAATCTAAAGATCATATTGGACCATATTACCATTTCCCTTACAAATGACAGTTGGAGGTATGGTAGCATTTGCTTTTAACCCCAGCACTCAGGAGGCAGAGGCAGACAGATCTCTAAATTCGAGACCAGTTTGGTTTACAGAGCAAATTCCAGGACAGCCAGGACCACACAGAGAAACCCTGTCTTAAAAAACCAAAACCAAAACTAAAATAACAACAAATAGTAACAGTTTGCTCTGGATGGTTAGTAAAATATTTATATTTATATTTATGAATTTACATACTTCTATAGCATGACTTTATGACTATATTAAAGTTTATAAACTTCCTAATTTGGCTCTTTATTTGAAAAGGCACCATTTTTTTTCCATTATTGCATGAAGTATTTCCTTTGGTATGGTAGAAAGGGTAGTGGGGATGGCAATTCTCAGCAGTCTTGGACTAGAATAGATTATATGGAAAACTGAATGAAGAAGAAAAAAAAACTAGGTCACAGGGCAGGATTACCTCAACCATAGACATTCATGCTTCCTATAACAAGTTGTGTTGGTTACTAATCAGTTTGAAGGAACAGAACAGGATTTGAAGATGTTTTAGTAATTCTCTTTACTAACTTTTCCCAGTTAAAACAGATAACCAAAGGGAGTTTGGGGGACTGAATAAAATGGTATCAGTTTGAAGACAGTGACCTTCCACCTTCAGAAGGGTTCACTGACTATGAGGGCTGAGCATGAAGAGCTATCTTGGAAGATAGGTAGGTGAAGATTCACACAGGTAAATTCTGTAGATAGTTCTGTTGGCTAGTTTTTGGTCAACTTGATACAATCTAGGGTCATCTGACAAGAGGGAACCTCAAATGAGAAAAATGCTTCCATAGATTGTCCGGTAGTAAGCCTGTGGTGCATTTTTCTTGATTAATGATTGGTGTAGAAGGGTACATCTTAACTGTGGGTGTTAGAACCCTTGGTTAAGTTGTTCTTGATTAAAACAAAAAACCACAAAAAATACAGTATAGAGAACCCTAAAGAATAAGCCACCAAGTAGTGTTCCTCCACGGTCTCTGCTTTGGTTCCTGACACCAGATTCTTGCTTCAAGTTCCAGCCCTGACTTCCATCAAAGATGGACTGTTACCTGGAAGTGTGAGGTGAAATAAACACTTTCATTCTTCTAGTTGTTTTTGGTCAGCATTTCTTATAGTAACAGAAGGTAGCTCATACAACAGCAAATCAACTGAAAGGTGGAGAGAGATTCGGTGTGGAGTCTATGCAGTTGATAAGACACATCTTGTGTATGAGTAAGCTTAGCTCTTAGGTCCTTAGCCAAAGACTTTGTGTAGTCACTCCATATTTTTTTATTTATTAATGACTATGTGATATTATTTCCTCCAAGAGTACTACAACTAAATATATTGTCCCATCTGTTTATTACTCGGCCTTTTATGAACATCTTTCTTGATAACTTCAATCTTTAAATGGCTTGTTTGAGGATAGTGATCATATCCTTTCTCTATTTATTATGTCATTTACTGTCTTACATTGACTTTAATAATCATATTCCCCAAACATTTTAGGAAATAATATTCAAACTACTTATTGTCGAAGTGTGTAATAGATGCTGCGATCTCCTCCAGATGGTCCCTTCAGGTCTGAGGCACCTGTTTCTTCATTCGTGATAAGCATTGCTGAAGATAATCTCAACATGGCAGCTCTCTGCAGATTACTTGGACAAAGGGTGCTACTTTGTTCAAGAGTGGGCCTTCTCCTTTGAGCCAGCTTACATCACATAATTGATATATAAAAGTGTTCAAAGATCTTGCCTCCCTGAAACTTCTGAAGGACCATGTTAGCTTCATAGCTTCTTGCAGGACCAAAAACTCTGTTTAAATACCAGTTAGAGTTGTCTAAGAAATGACACTTTAAAATGGAATTGTGGAGCTAGATAACCTACTGGCTAGAGAGAGACCTCCATCATTGGTGGCAGGTGGGGTTCTGGTTGCTCCTTTCCAAAGTAGTAAAGTTGGAGGGGACACCAGTGCATCATCAAGCAGTATCTGATGTATAGAGAGCTTCGACAGAAGTAGCAATTCTTTTTTGTTGTTGAAATAGATTCTTCTCTCATACAACACATCCTGAGCACAGTTTGCCCCCCTCCACTCCCCCCAGCTCCTCCCTTCTCCAGATACATTCCCTTTCCATTTTCCTTCAGAAAGGAGTAGGCCTCCAAGAGACAATAAGTGAACATAACCAAACAAGATACAATAAATAGGGCAAAAGCCATCATATCGAGGCTGGACAAGGCAACCCAATAGGAAGAAAAGAGTCCCAAGAACAGGCAAAAGAATCAGAGAAATGCCAGCTCTCGTTGTCAGGAGTCCTACAAAAGCACCAAGCTCACAGCCATAACATATATGCAGAGGATATGGCAGGGCTATGCAGACCTCATGCTTGGTGCTTTAGTCTCTGTGAGCCCATATGAACCTTGCTTAGCTGAAGCAGGAATAATTGTGTGTGGAAAAGTTCTACAGAAGCAGGAATCATCCCACTAGTAGAGTTATACTGTTTTTGCTAGCTGCCAGAATGTACTGGAGAAATACAAAGAATGGCTAAAAGGTGTTTAACCACTATTTAATGAGAAGTGTGGAAGTCAAAGTGCTCACTTGACAACATACAAAGAAAGTTATATCTCCTATAAACAGAAGGAAAAGCGAGCTGTGAATCAATGTCAGGACTTTATACTGGAGTAGTATAAATGCAGAATGGGTCCTAAGTAGAAAACAAGCTAGGTGGATCCTGATACTAGTGGTGGTTAATTTCTAGGTTAATGTCCTGACAAATCCTTGAATTCTCTGGGCCCAAAGATGTGGTTCACTCCACACATCAAATGCTAGTCCTGTTGCTGTTTGAGGACAGCATACAGGTTTTTGAAGATAGCATTTTTTCAGTAACTGTCCTTACTTCTGCCACAGGACATGATCCAAGTAATCAGAATCAGTTCACAACCCAGTCCAGCAAGAGATGTAGCATTTCACATACCAAGTAATCAGAAACTTCCAGAAGGCAATGTTGAAGTACAGTAGAGGTTGGATTTTTTAAAACTATAAGTTAGTATAATTTTTTTTTGGTAGTGCAGGGAATCAAATCTAGGATTTGTACATACACAATATCATTGAGCAATAACCCTAGCCTACTGTAATTTTTCAAACAATACTCGGGAAAATGTACCAATGGCTTTAAATATATTTTTATGTTGATCCAGAAATTCTTCTTTTGATTTTGCTTACACATAATTTCTTTGGTAAAAGTTAATAGAAGGTGGCAGGTAAACGCTGCCTGGAAAAACAGAACAGATACCCCAGGCATCTGCATCTGCCTCAGTAGATTCTCAGGCACCAGTGCAATGCATTTGCTTTTCACCTCACCTGGAATATGAGAATTTAAGATCCAGATTTATTTGTCATAATGGAACAGTTACCAAATGGAATCTTCTTTGGGTAAAGAAAGATCCATGAGCTGGCATATTCTCATAGACTGGCTTATTCTCTCACATTCTGTACACTCTGCAAGAAGAAAGCATAGATGACTGGCATGGTTTGAGTCACATTCACTATAACCACTGAAAATTGGTAGAGTTTTTCCTATTGAAATGCCACAATAATTTCAACAGTGAGGATTTCATTGCAGGCAGTTGTGTATACTAATTCATGTCCTCTTAAAATGCCAGAACAAAAGCATCTATTCATGCTTCCATTATATTCCCAAGGGTCGATAGTTTGTGTGTGCATGCGCGCGCGCGCACACACACACACACACACACACACACACACACACACACACACACACACACACACACATTTCCCATACACAACTCAGGAATATCTTAAGGGACAAAAAAGTAAAAAAAGAAAGAAAGAAAGGAAGGAAGAAAGAAAGAAA